GCATTCATTTTTCAAATAGACTCCGGAAATTAAAAAAAAAACGACCGCCTCGTCATATAATATTCTATTAATCGACAAATTGATAAATAATATTTAATTTATTTCTCAATATTATTCAAAGAGATACGATTAGGAGACAATAAAAGGGATTTTTAGGAAACAATTTTTTTTAATATTGATATGGGGGTATTATAATTATATTGGGAGAAAATATCGTTTTGATAAAATTCGAGCTTTTTTAAAATGGAAATTTTTCACCGCGTAATTTTGACATGTAAATATTATAATTATTGATATTTGGTCAGCTTGAAGATAATCTTTCACCTGCGTTGAATTTCCATTCGACTGAAGCACCTGAAAATGTCCAGTTGACAAATAAGTCGCATTTCATCTCTGACTCTCGTTTTCTATAATTCCTGAATTTCTCACATGCATACAAATGGCAACACGTTTTGAGTATTCAACCCGGTCTTTCTCGTCCGTCCCAAGCAATTCCCCCGAGATTCTTCTATAAATATGTAAATACCTCGTAACAATGTGCAGAAAAAAAGGAATGGAAAAATACGCAAAGAAAAGTACAAGGATAGTCCAGTGCGTCTAGAGGCCATTTGTTTGCTGTAAGCTTGAGTTAAACTTTTAGAAAACTAATATTGACTGGTAAATATCTACATCGTGAGAGTGGAAACTATAAATAAATAAATTTCACAAACTTTTAAAACGGTTCAACCTTCTTTTCATTGCAGACTCATACTCGAAATTCATCCAATATTAATTATCCAATCCAATTATCCATCCAATATAATTATCATAACATTGCCACCTCGAAATAAAAAATCGTCTGAATTCCTAATCGATTAAGGAAATTAATCCATTTTTCATCACCACATGAGTGATGAGCAGAAAAAAATCGATAATTTTTGTTATCCGCGACAGAACTACAGACTCCAGTTATCATCGCGTGGATGGAGCTGTAGGGGAAGTGAATTCGAAGAATTCTACTATCTAGATCCACCCCTACCCCGCACTCGCTGCAATCGTAAACTGAATTCTTTCATAGCAAATTCACATACGAGGGGAATTTATTGTTCAATTCCTGACTGGATAAAACAGTGGACTGTTTACATCTTGAAACTTGAAGGTATACAGTAGACTAGGGCAACCGGAAGATCCGCGAAAACAGAAAATGAGAAGAATGGATACTCTAACGCGATTCTACTGTATATGAATTTTTAATTGCGTCATTGTTGGATAATGGAAATGCAGATGTATGATCGTTAATAAAATAAAGACAATACCGATGTGACGAGACAGTCTCTCGTACCTGAGGCAATTTGGAATGCAGGACGAAAAAAGAATTGAATTTTAATGGAATATCAGTCGCAGAATATGTCCCGTGGTATTCAAAGTGGTCAAAGCGCCCCTAAAAATTTCTCTCAAATTCAAATGCTTTATAATTGCACAGAGCACAATGATCCGGGTTATTATAATTGCGATCGTTTGACAAGGGTCGTCAGTTTTCGCTGGAAATCTTTCCACAATAATGAAATAAACAGCGAAACTGACCTTCTTTTTTTACTTTGAATATCGATATAGATGTTTTCTCTTCAATATACCTTGGAATATGTCATAAGATGTCTGTAATAACCATTACATTATTTACTACGTCATTGAGTAGTCATATTCTTGAAGGTAATGCATTATAAAAAATTTTATCACAGCAAATGCCACGCCGACGCGAAAGATAAACTCGTTCGTATTTTTATGACTTCCCAATCTGAAATGTATTGTGCCTTGCAGAGCGTAGAAGAGTATTAATACATCTGGTATTAATTTACAATAAACAACACAATATCCAATAAATTTTTCTGACACTAGCGCCCAGAAAAAAATCTATAATTAAATAATTCCATTAATGTAATGATTAAAAAATATTATTATGTACTTATCTGAAGTTTAACGTGTATACTTGAATCAAGTATTAATTCGGTGTTGTGAATGGAAAATTACTGGATTGAAGACACTGTTGCCTGTTTTTTAAAAAATTGATGACAAACAAATGGATGAATAAATTCGTGTTAATTAATGCTGAACTGATGGTATAAATCAGAAATTCAGAATTGGGATGGATACGTGACAAACGATTGAGGGATATAAAGTAGATGGATATAGATTCTGGCCTTCCCTAAATACTGAATTATTCATGTTGAAAGAGTCGGTTTAGAGCACACAAGTATGTATATCACACGAGTGTGCACAAGAGTGTGCGATAAAGAGAGAGATATGGTGGTGGACAGTGGAAAGGAGAGAGTGAGAGATTGAGGTAAAATGAGATAGTGGAAGTACGCTTCATCTGCAAGTGTAAAAGGCATCATTTGATTATGCAACCCCTGAGGGATGAATAGTGTTGCTATATTGGTGCGAATCTCTCGATTTCAAATACTATATGTTCCCACAAAAGCTTATCCACACACCCACGTGAAAACATTTATTCGATTTGCCGATATGTGGGGAATATGGAATACCCGAGCTGTTAGCATACTGTGGGCTTCCGTCATGTTCTTGGTGAAGCGTATTAATCAGTACTGGAGTTTAATCCCGGTTAGTGCATCACTCGAGTGCTGACGCTTTTGCGATTTCTCATTTGTATTTCATCTCTTTTGCTGTTGAAAAACATTTTTTAAGTCAACATATACATTATATATAAAATATTTAACACAATGAAAGTTTGATTGTTTATTCATTATTGTTCTGACAATTCATTTATAATCCATGATTGTACACCGAAAAATTATTGATTCTGCTGTAATTTTTGGGGATATCACATGGGAATAATGAATTATGCGACGAATAATTGAGAATGTTCGAAAATGAGAGTACAAGGGACGGGTAACAATAGGAAGGGAAAATAGGAAAAGGATAAATCCAATATCTCATTGGTAATGGTTGGTGTATCCGGTTGGGAAAGGAGGTCGAGTACTAATAGAAGACCAGAACCAACGACGACTAATGGGGTGCATCGCTGTGGCCTTTTGCAAGAGTAAAAATGTACCTGCCACCTCTGTCCTTCTGCCTCTGCGTTTTCCACAGCGAAAGTTCTGTGTCATTTTTTCTTCTCTTCTCGTTTCTTTTTCGGCTTTTTCTCATTTTTATCCTTTGCCTACCCCTCCGGCTCGCTCTTTCTCGGGCTTCCGTTCTCTGGTGATGCCACGCCTCCTGGCACTCGGGCTATAACTTCCGTCGGTGTAACAGGCACGCGAGAATTCACCCTGGCCTTTTAGAATTCAAATAAATGTATAATTAGAGTGGTGGAGGATGACCTGAGTTTTAACACCTCTGCGGGTAAAAAAAAAACTCAACGAAGAGTCCCGAGGTTTTTGGGTGAAAATTTAAGTTCAAGTGCTCACGGGATTTCAACTGTAATTTCATTTATATTCATTCTCATATCCGAGTAATTCATTCAAAAGTTTTCATATTTTTCGGGGATTTTCTTTTTCTTTTTTCCTGCTCAATTTGATGATGACATTTGATGTTTTCAAAGTTACTTTCTCGGAGTATATTTTCAGTAGTAACGGCGAGAGTACAGGCATCCATCTTCCGGAATTTTCGCATTTTGAAAACAATAGTTCGGCAATACAGAGAAATATCCCCAATTCACATTGGGTTGCAGCGGACACTTTGAAAAATCTCCCGAAATCCCAAGAATTCTTTCAACAGCACCAGGATTGTTCTATATATCGCGGCACATTCGTGCCGATTCTCTTGACTCGACGACGATGCGACTTTCTCCCAGGGACCAACGATACAAATTGGATTTCCTCGCGGGATTTTATCTTCCCCTTGTTTTTATTTACTTTTATATCTGCATTCTGTTTCATTGTCCACCGAGTGGTGCCAGCGCGTTGTCTTCGTGTCTCGTAAACCTTCCCCTGTCACACAGCTCGTTGAATATTCACCCTGTAAATCATGGACTGCGCTACATGTGCTCGACTCACCGCGAAATTTCTCTTCTTTGATGACTTTTTCGTAGAAGCTCCCTGGTACAGCGACTTCCAACGAGAATTCACCGAATTTCAAGAGACGCGTAATTCACGCGCAAGTGAAATTCGTCATGACACGGGATGAATTTTAAAATCCCTTTAATTAATTCCGTATTGCAATTTAATCCGCGAAACGTTGATAATTCTTGTGAATTTCCTCGTGCAGCTTTTTAATAATTTATTAAAAAACCTCTGATGTTATCCATCCGGTAATAGAAGGATAAATTTCATGGCGAATAACTTTGCAGATACGTTGATTAATTAAACACTGAAATTACTGTCCACTTGATGATAAATGTACTGATGATTGAATTCATTGAATTGAAACTGTTGAATTCAGATACCGCCTAATGCACTTCGTTGCATTTACCAAGTACATGATAATGCAGTGGGAATAGTGCACATCAGCAGGATGTACGAGTGATTTGGTATCAACCCAAATTCTGTGAGCTGCCATTGATCTTATTTGCACGCTTCACTGAATTGACCTCAATTTGACCTTGGAAATGCGCCATACACCTCAAAGATGTACAATCACGAGTAATTACTCCCTCATTGTCAGTGCAAAACCAATGGAAATATCACTCGTCAATTACAAAATTAATGGGGTCATTTGGTTAATTGGATACTCTGTTATCATTGCAGATTTTTTTCAATAGATTTGTATTGCATTCACGGTGAAATGAGTCTAATGAAATGGATTTCTCCATGTAGTGCAGTGTGGCTTTTTCAGCCTTTTAAACGAGACAATTTAATTCTGGTTGAATTATTGGAATGATTTTCCACATTGAAGTAATGAATGTTTGACAAAGCTCCTGTTCTTCACTCTCATTTGCCCAATTGTGCAGGTCCATTACATTTCATGCAGAGCTAGACTGATTGAGGGCGTGAATATTCTCTTATTTTTACATACGCGTGATAAAATTGAATATTTAATTTCAATTATTCTGTTTTTTTTTTCAGAACTTGAAGAATCAAATCATGACGACCAACCTCTGGGTGGAACAGGTAAGCAAAATCACTTGTACTTTATCACCAGAATTTTCTTGAATCAATTGTCATCTATAAACCGAGAATCAATCATTTAACAAAAATAAATGCAAGTGCAAACAATTGCAATCTCAGGAGAGACAACAAAAAAAAATCCTGAATCAACTGTTGTAACGCGCAATCGAGCAGAATTTGACCTTGTGTCATTAAATACTGGATTCCATTGCTCGGTAATTGTACATTGGGGCACAGGCACTCGGAATTGCCGGAAAGCTCTCCGCCTGGAACTAAGTGCTTCAGCGAAAAAAAAAACAACCTCGCCTGAAAAAAAAAAGGGAAACGGTAAACTAACAATAGAGCACCGAATCAACGAAGGCAACGGTACCAGAGATAATTAAAGAATAATTACCCCTTGCCAATTAACGTACCTATCTACATCCATCCGTGACATTGCAGCTCTTCTGGATTTCTCAGTTTTTACGTGCATCATTCTGAAAGGAGTTCATTCTTTCGTATTCATTTAATTCGCCTTTTGACATTAACTAAGTATTTCCCCATTTTTTTACCCCGAAAAAAATTGATCAAAACTGATAGAATACTCTAGTAGAATTTCACTTAATTCTATTTTCCAGAAATTAATCGTCAATTAATAACACTAATTACTGATATTATTATTATATATTATTAATAATATTAATTACTTCGTTAAAAGAAACAACAAGATTATTAAATGAATAATCAATATTGAATTGCGAAATTTGCATTGACCAGATTTTCTGAAACCCTTTATTTCTAATCAATGAAATTATCTGGAGTAAATTTCAGTCACGAAGTTTCATTAAAAGTCACTTGGAGTAATTTTTCACTGAATTTGGTGAAGTCAAAGTCACGTGCAGTCGACTTGGCCATCCCTCAAGGTTGCTCGGAGGCTTCTTCATCGGATTGCCCTGAAACACGTATTCCTGACCATCTCAACTCCAGTCCCCGTCCAAACACACATAACATGACCCTGCAAATGCGGTTGGCTACACCAGAGTCTCAACTCACTGGCAGTACGTGCAAGTCTCGGTAGTAATGACAAGCCCACGTGTACATGGGATGAAGGTAAGCTGAGGGTTGAGGCCTCAACTTCAGTTGCTCTCTAGCAGCCTTGGGAATAACGAGAATTCCATGGCTAACACATTTCCTACTAGGAATTCTCATTAAGTTCTTGATATTAACTGTGTGGAGATATTAGGGCAGTGACCTGGGGTACGTCGATGAATGACGTCGGTGGGGCTTTGGTGAATATTTTCTCATCGTCTTGGGTTATCCCTTTTTTAGAGACTAGTACGACAGACTGGTGTCACTTGGGGGTGAATGATAACCACAATGACCCCTGTGGCTTTACTGGAGATGGTGCTTCGGTGAAGATGTCGAGGGTGATTGGGTGAGGGAGAGTCGTGGTTTTGCATTATTCATCATCGTGTGTCGATTTAGGGCGGAAAGGAGAAATTCCTCTCAGGATACGCAGGGAGAAATATTCAGTAAGCATTACAGAACAATTGATGGAATTCGGAAGATTCGGAATTCGGAATTGTTCTCCGGGAGTTTACAGGAATGGAAAAAAATAAATCTGAGCTGAAATCCTCAAGCCTTTTGTTCAACAAATACAGAAACGGTAATCATCAAATTATTGCTGAAACCCTCTCGGCCAATTGAATTTTTAATTTGCGTTTATGTGCAGAAATTGGCGAAAAGTTTGCCATGAATTTCTCAAGCGCTTCAGATTTCCGACGAATTGTTTGTTTCTCGTTACAGGAAATCTCCCGCATTAGTCATGCCGCGATTAAACTTTTTCCCGCCGCGCAAGTTTGGATTACTCGCTGTTTTCCCACTTTCTGTTTGATGGGTCCGTCCTTGACACTTGGCGTAAAATTCTGTAGGAAAAATCGAAGGTGAAAAGAGAGGATATATACAACGAGCACCATCAATCGGCATTAGTACGGGTTTGATACGGTTTATAACAGCGATCAGCGTCACACGGGGAACACGTAAATTCCCGGGGATTCTCGAAATCGAGGACACTGTGAAAAATGGAAAAAGGAAGAGTTACGCTCTCAAGGTTTCTCCCGCAAACATTCTGCATGTTACAAATAATGCCCAATGGATCTCCCCGTCAGCTTCAGTTGGCAGTGGAAAAAGCCGTAAATCTTTCCATCCTGGATAACTTTGGTCTCGCGGTACTGATTTTTCAAAGCACACGGTTTTACACTTCCCCCTACTTTGAATATTTATGATTCCGAAGTAACTTCCCGGGTAAAAAAAAATTCTAATAGAATATTTTTTCCAAATTTTTAAAAAATTTCTGGAAAATTTTTCAGAATTTTTTTTTTATGAAAAAAAAGAAAATTGGAAAACAAAACAATTTTATTTTTAAACACAACAGTCTAATTAAAAAAAAATTATATTCGCAAAAATTTCTAGAAAATTATAAAAAAAAATTTCTGAAACAAATTAAAAAAAAAAATTCTGAAAAGTTTTCAAAAATATTTTTGAAAATTTGGAAAAAATATTCAGATTACGATTTTTTTTTACCCGGGTCATCCTTTTCATTATCCACAGGAGACTACAGATCCATTGAAGCATGAATAATTGCTGTACAATTACCGAATTCAGGTTGACTGGAAAATTCTCGGTACAGAAATTCATTACAGCAACTCGTTTCAGTTCGGTACAGTTGAAAATTCATGTGAAATCAATAGAAATTTGTGAATAATCAAGGCTTTCATTAATTTAAAAAGCGGAAAATAGTTGACACTTCCCACTCCTCCGAGTATTTACAATTCGGAAGTAACCCACGGTTTTTATTATTCAGGGGAGACAGCAGATAAAACATGCAATGCACCATTAATATTTCCAGGACAATTACAGAATTTATATTCACAGGGGAATTTTATCGATAGAGGTGAATCAATAAAAATTTCACAGAAATTAATAAGTTAATAAAAAAATAAAAATACTGAATGTTATTTTTATTGCCAGACTTGATTTTTATTTATTTCCAATTGTATTATTTATTTCGTGGGAAAAAAAAAATATTATTAGTATCAGCCACAGCTTTTACCAAATGTTCAATAATTTTATAGGATGCATTAGAGGAATAAATACAATTTTTATTAATGATAATTGATAAAAATTGATGAATGTGGACCATTTCATGTGAATGACGGGGGAAAAATTGCAATTCATCAGTTTAAAGGGTGAAAATGTAAAGACTGATGTTGTATGACTCGTAAATTTTTTAGCCAGCCGAAAACATGAGCCAGGCTGACAGTAGGTCGCGTGTGCGACGGTCGTTCAACTTCATAAAAATCTCTCGCGCTCGGCTTGTTGCACAATTTCTTCCCAGCTCGATACACATCTCTTTTGCCACATATACAGCAGCCGTCCTTTCAGTCGCTTTCATTTTTACGTCGTGTCGTATCTTCCGTTTGCCTCGTTTTCTCTTCGGATACATTTTGCCGTTGCGCACCGTCACTGCAAGATGTAAGCCAAAGTATATAGTCGGGTATATGGTACCGGCATAAAATGTCTCGGTCGAGTGGATACGTACGAGTGTAGTCAGACTTCCAAGAAGGTGAAATTCATTCGTCTCATCGAAACACGAACACTGAGGATGTGCTGTTACAGAGAAATGAGGAGGTGGATAAAAAAAACGCCCCGAGTTTTATCGCTTCGCTTGCAACGATTTACGCATCCGAGCGTGTCCCAATATCAATGGCACTTCCATACGGATTTATATTTTCCAACGGTCAATCTCTTCAGCTGGATAAAATATATTCATTTATTTGGCTCTCGGATTACACACTGCACTCTCATGGCGATAATCGTTTATGGGAGAGAAGAAGAGTCTGATCATTCGAATAAAAATCTTTGAATTGCCAAAAAAAAAAAAATTATTCTCAAATTTATCGAAATTTATTAGCGCGTTAAAATATTTCTGTGTCAGTGAGTAATTGAATTAAAAATAAAAGTTTAAAAACTTGAGTGATAGAATTTCTAAAAAATTATAAATACGTAAATAATATTCATTATTAATTGATTATTAATTCAAAATGGTATAGTGCTGATCTACAAATCGATTCGTTGTTGAAAATTCATTAAATAACCGATGACAATTTGATAAATAAATTGATTGAATCGATAGCAAAGGAAAATTGAAATGGGTGTTTTAATCAACGAACGCGTCACTCACTCCGTTGTCTAATGCGGCAATCATTAATTGACGGTTAAATGAGAGAATTTTAACACGAAATAAATTGTTTCGATTAAACGAAAAATGAATCTTGACTGTAATAATTCTCTAATATTTTTTTCTTTTATTGGTTGTTTCAAGTCATGGTACGACTACAAATTGCGATGGGAGCCGAAGGAGTACGGAGGGGTACATATGCTACACGTGCCTTCAGATCACATATGGCGACCAGACATTGTCCTGTATAACAAGTGAGTCCACCGAATTAACCTAGTCTTATTAACCCCTTTATTTTTCATTTTTATTAAATAAGTATCGTGTGTGTCCATTGGTGGGATTTAGCGGCAGCGCATGATGCCGGAAAATTCATCGACTGAACACTCGTTTCCAATAAAATATCAAAAAAAATATTTCCAACTCTGAAAAGAGGAAAGAATAATAAATAATATCAAAATTAACTGAGGATCACTCGAAGATCATCTTGAGAATAAAATCTGGAGTTAAATGGCAGATCAAGATTAATTAGATCTCCCATTTTTTAACTCGGACTTTTTGTATTGTTTTTTTTTTTATTTTCCGAGGGTAATCCACATTAACGAGTGTTCATTCTTTTTTGTCAATTTCTACCCCCCGAAATGCTGAGAAGCGCGTTGGATGGAATTTCTACAGTCGTTCCCCTTTTCAAAAGTTACGGAAAAATGTAGGACGAGCGTATGCGACAAAACCCATTGTATTTCATTCCCCGTTTTGTCTTTTTTTTTCAATTCTCTCCCACAGCGCCATCTTTTCCGGTGAAACGAAATTTCTTTTTTTCTCACCAAGCCCCAGGTCTCTGTACTCATCATCCGATGAAATTTATACCCTCGTCCGCGTGACTTCCGCCATATTTGCGTAACTTTTGTCACATACACGGAGCAACAAATAACTGTGCAACGTGATAGTCAATGTCATCACAATTTCCATCATTTTATTTTTAATCTACGGTCTATTATTAATGCTCTTGTGTTTTACATGTATTTATTTTTAATCGCCATGATCATTATTACTGTAGACAGGATAGATTATCATTTATATCGCATGATATACGGGCGCTGCGGCGAGTAATAAATATTGTTCAGCAATTTAAAATTCACAAATTTACCTGAGTGTGTTGGCGAATGGTTTGTTAATTAAAAATTTATACGAGTAACGACTACGCCTCGTTTTCATGATTAACAATGAAAAATTGATAGTTCTGGAGGAATTACGAATTTTCATTGTCAACGAGAAATTGATTAGGTGAAAAAAAAGAGAGAGAGTTTAGGGGAATATTTTATTTTTCCTGTGGAAAAATTCAACATTTTTTTTTTCCCCAGCTCTTCTTGTCATTCTGTTTGCAATGCGATTGCATCCGAGCGAGTTCCATCACTGTATCACGGTATTCTCTAATTTTGCGTATGCGGTTGGGTTTACACATCGTTTACGTTGACGTACCAAAGCCGCTGGTTACAGAGGACACTGGAAAATTGTTACTCTCCATGTGTTTGCTATTGCGTATCCTATTCCCGAGGTTTTTTTTTTAAATAAAACCACTTATGAGGGGATTGTTCATGGAGGGGATTTTTTTCTTCGTTTTTTTGTGGATTTCGTATTCAATCCGGATTCAAAAGGATTGCCCCTCAGCCATTTATATTCTACAACTGAAAATATATCGATTATTTTTATTTTTTAATAATTTTTTTTAAGCGATTCTCTATTTTTCTCCTATTGATTTTTATTATTGGAAGATTAAGAACATTTTAAAAATAACGCGCGAAATTCAAATCGCGATCTTTGGAATATATTATCATTTTTATATCAATGAAATTATAGAATCATGATCATAAAAATAATTATTATGAAATAATAATAATCGTTATTATTTCTGTAATTATAAGATTTCCTCAGATTTCCCATGAAAAAAAAACACCGAAAATAATGAAGGCGTTAATTTTTCATGTGAACAATCATTTTTCAATAAAAGTGGTACAGAAAAAAAATCTGTAAATCGGATTTTGTGGATGTATAGGGGATTAGTAAAATTGCTACAATTTTGTTTGTAACGGTTTTTATCTGGAATGATGATGGGGTTTCATTTGGAATTGAGAGAGGAATCTGAGAAAAAATCTCTCCGACTCTAATCAATCTTGACGTCGATCATTGACGATCCCCCATTGGGTTTGTTGGCATGTCAGTAGGTGATTTATCCCCTCCGTCACGCAGTAACATTCACCCCTTTTCCGTGCAAGTACAAGTCACGATTTTTCACTATTCGAGAAACAGACACGTATAGCGTTACCCCGACGTTTCATCCCAACCTTTTTGTCTCAAATTTCGTTGGCCACATCGTCCTTCATCCTCCCTCTCTATTCCTACCACCTAATCTTCACTTTTTTCCAACCACTCCGCTCGTTCATCAAACCCCGACAAACGATTTACCGTTGAATTGCGATTGACATCTGTACGTGTTTGATGGAAAAACTGGAGAAGACTTGGAGAAAAATTCTGCGAGTTCATCCCGTCGATTAGCCTCTATTTCTCATACCGATTTCCATTTCTCCGAAGACCCGATCAATTTCCACTTCTGAACTGAAAATACGTCCCATCCGGAGTTGAATTTCATGGGATTTCTTGAAAATCAATTTTTCCCTTCAACTCCCGATAAAATTCACGTCTTATTTTGAAATAATCAATACTACTGTAAATAAATACAATCCAATCGTGTAATAGTTAATTACATCAACTGTGTAATCGCAATTTATCCAATTCACGGATAAATCCACCGTCACTGCGGTTCACGGCCTCCAAACATGAATAATCCGGTAATTGATCAACCCCATGCATTGACTGATTGAAATTACTCATTATCTCATATTTACCAAGCGTTATAATCAGGGGCTAATAATATAATTCATCTTTACGCATGGTGCGGATGATGGAAGAACTGGAATATGAATCCAAAGGGGATTGATTAGAGGGAATGGAATTTGGTGGAGTCAGGGCTGGAAATACAAAGGGGGTTCCCATCAAATCCGCATTAACGGGGAGGCACGTTAAGGATTAATTTATCATACCATCTGTGTGCATGGCACTGGCTAGGCCGGAGTGAATTTGTCCCCCTGGAGGGCTGAATTTTTCATCGTATTTGCATCGAGCCTCGTTGAAAAAAAAGGGGAACTGCATCGTTTGTGAGGCGAATACTTTTTTCACCTGGTCAAGTATATTTCATTTAGTCATTTAAATATTTTTATTTTCATCAAACTTTTTTTTAATTCCACATAACAACGGGGAATTAAATACCTATTGTATAATTTATTAATTAATTAATTAATTTATAAAATTTATTTTTTATAAAAGTATTTTTTCAAATTACGTCGACCTGTAATTATCAACATTTAAAGAAAATGAATAGTGTTTTGAAAAATTTATTCCATGATGTAGCTCATATAATTATTGATAATCATCTGGTGGAAATTTCATTTGAAAGACGAATGACTCAAGGTGTTCGTGGGATGGAAAAAATTCGGATCGGGGTTTTGGGGTGTCGTGGGAAAATTTACAATCAGATGAAAAAAATTACAGCAACTGTATCCAAGTGCTGTGTCAGATTTGTCCAATTTACTTCGTTTTTGAGCACGTGATTCCCCAGAGGGAGAAGCGAGGATACGAAAACAACGAGGGGATTTACGAGGCATCAAGCGGACTTTTCTGGGATAGTAGAAACAGTGCGGACGAAATGAGACAGAGTTTACCGTGCTAGTCTGAGAAATTCACAGTGTGATTGCGTACAGTTAGAAAATGTCCCTGTCATCCTCACATAATTGTGAGATTTTGTCATTCGTCAAAGCATTTATTTCATTAGAATTTTGACTTTTGAATTTTTTACGTTTCAATTGAATTTCAGTGCAAATAATTACAGAAATGATAGAATAAAAATTTTAACAAATTATTTAAATCAATTGCACGCGTGACATTATAATTTTAATTGAATTTTTATCACATCAAATGGGGAGTGAATGCGGCGAAATAAAATTGACATTGCGTATGACAATTTGATAAATTAAATAAGTTGACTAGCGAATTAAAGTGCAATTGCACCAAAATTGTAACTGGGAATGTCCCCAATCCCTGGCAAATGTCTGACAATCGTGTAACATTGTCGAGTGCAATCTCATCGTCATTCCAATGGCGAGTAGTTAAACCTCCATTTCCCCGAAATTCGATCTCAGGTGTCTCAATCACGGAAATGTTCTCAGACAGGAGAGTGGCATTGATACAAGTGTATTGTATCGGTGGAGTAGGGGGCGAGATTGTCCAGAGAAAGGTATATCCAGTGATCCACGAATCGTTCTCCACCTCTCCCTCGTGGAATTCCCGCCAAAATGGCCATCCGGGGAATCCATTTTGCGGGAGAATTCGATAAATCCCACTCCATCGGTATTACTGGAAGCGAAGGAATTATGGATTACCGTGCCCCAATATTCATTTTATGCATCAGCCCGCAATTTCAATGGAAAACATCATTAAATTAAAAAACAGGACTGCACATGCGAATGAAAATACCTCGGTATTCAGGTTTTTTTTATTGATAATCTAGAGTGCAGATATGGAAATGGAAAAACGACCAAGAAAAATTATTAAGCTTATTCAAAAATTGGGGATTAAAATACAGGAGAGTTCTTGTTCTTTTTTTTTAATGTCCCCTGAGGGGCATGATAAGAGAAAATAATGAATTGATGGAAATAGATTTTTCTGAGTATAATTTCAATTTTGAATTTCACGTGGCACCTGAAATGTTATAAAAATCTTGCTCCCTAAATAAACTTTAATATAATTTGATATTATATTATAAATATTATAAATGAATTTTTTTTAAATGTGTCTTTAACATGTTTCTAATGAACTATTAAATGAAAAATCATCAGACATAAAAAGAAATGGCGTGACGTCTACTCGAGATGAAAAAAAAACTCCGGTTCCAGAGTATTGCAGTGCGATATTAAAAATAGCATTGAAATACCTGAGCTGAGAAAATGCGGTTGGCGTTAAAATTGAAATGAATAATCCCGGAGACTATTTTAATTAACGAGCGAACCCGACGGTCCGATGAAAAGTGTAGGATTTCCCGTCGTTCAACGCCACTCGGCGCGTCTTCATGGAAGTCGTCCAGGTAGACACCGAGACACCACAAATGCATGGGACTTCGGATTTCAAAGTTCTTGCATGCATTATC